GTAGTTTATCTGTAGATAACAAATTAAATAATATGGTGTTTCTACATATTCTTCTTAAATAACTATTTTGACATGTACAAATCATGTACTATATATCTCTATAACAATAATCTTTTATCCTTATATTCTTAAGTAAGCTCCTTATTTCTTAAATAACTATAACTATGTCGTTCAGTCACTTGCAGTAAATTAATCAATCTTTATAATAATTATTGGGATAATCTAATTTTCTTTCTTTAAATAATCAACACAAAAGACTTCAAAATAATTTAGATTCATCTCTAAATACGAAATTTAGTTATTAAAATTGAGTTAAAAATAAAAATTTTAGTACTTCTGCAGTTCACTTAAACAAATTGTCCTCTAAAACATATGGGGATTTTCTCATAAATTACTCAAAAATACATTTTATTCAACATGTAATTTGTAAACAAAGTCAAAAGTCAAATATCACTACAAAAAAATTGTTATATTCCAACGGAAAATCCTATGGTAATATATTTCAATGGAAATTCCAACGGATATTCCAATGGTATAGCTTTCGTTGGAACCATTCCAACGGAAATTCCAACGAAAATATTCCGTTGGAATGTATTTTTCATTGAAATTTTAGATGGAATTTGTTAATTCCAACGGCTTTTGACCGTAGGAATTTCCGTTGGAATATACAATTTCTGTTGAAATTTTTATTTCCACCACCGTTGGAATCGTCAAAATCCAACGGAAATTCCAATGGAAAACTCACTCCAACGGAATATTTTTGTTGGAATAATTTCAACAGAAATAATAGCATTAAAATATCCATTAGAATTGCCGTTAGAATTCTATTGGAGTATATTTCCGTTGAAATTTCATCATTTTCTTGTAGTGTATATATATACTATTATTTTTTTCGCTCTTTATTTTATAAATATTTTGCTTTATTGCCTTAATAAATTTTCAAACACATATTTTAGAAGACATTGCATAGGAGTATGTTAGTTTTAATATGTTAAATCTCTTATATAAATTACTTAAAAGAATAAAAATAGATTTATCCTAACTTATTTTACTAACAAGTTTGTTTGTTATTTTACTAATTGCGTAATCATCAAATGAACAATTTTTTTTATAGGTGGATGAACTTGTTTTCATGACACATATCAATATAGACAGGTCTTTTGTTAGGTCAATATACCAATTTTTTTTTATAAATATACATATTTTTATTAGAAAATGTCATACAGTATAAAATAAAATAAAATAAAGTATGATATTATATTGTATAAATATAAATATTTTTATTAAAACTTATGATGGGTAGATCCACCTAACAATTAATTATATTGTCTTACACAAGAATTTGAGATTATGTAAATGAAAATGTGAGGTTGAGATGGTACATCATAAATACACAGCAAAATTCTCTTTTAATTNAAAAGAGCATAGTAAATTTTAAAGGCCACATTGCAGCTTTTATCTTTGACCAGATAATGCCTCCGAGCTACATACATACACACTCAAGCACATTATTAATGCATAAATCTAATCAAAATAAATAATTATAATTGTTCTCGCATTATCACCAAGTCAGATAGTTCTGCGACTTCTGCCAAAGCCAATTTTGCCTGTGATAAACAGGTATGGAGGCTTGCTCCAGTCACTTGGAATAGCTTGCAAGAGGAAATCATAAGCTTCAAGGACTGGTGGAAAGAAATCTGTCTAATGCACAGTAGGAAAGAAGCTGAAGAGAGAATCCAACTAACCACCTGCATTCTATGGTGGTTATGGAAAGCTAGGAATCTCTGGCTATTTGAAAGGAGCTGGCTGCAAGAAAAAATCATTGTGGATTATACTTGTTCAGATTGGTTGGAATTTTCTAATTTAGTTTGCTAGTTGGGGTAATTTAGATTTTACTTTGTGTTCTTTTTCACTAGCTAGGCTCCAAGCAGTGGCTAGGTTGTATTCTTTAGGCTCGTGGAGAAGCTAAGGGCCTCAGTATTCTATACTGCCCATTAGAATGACCACTAGTATTATTTTATATTTTGCCTTTCCTATATACATTTTATTTTTTGTAAATATCATAATTTCTGCAAACTTATAATATCAGTTTAAGATAAGAAAGAAATTTTATAATTATCTTATATTTATATTATTCTTATTTAAATGACTAACTTGTTTTATCTTATATGATTTCTTCTTTCCCTCTTTTATAGCTTTTTTTTAATGAATGTTAGGACTATTTTTTTACATCGTGTTCAGTTCTATTTTTCATCTATTTTTCTTTGTAGTTATTACGTTGATCTTTACTAGTTGTTTTGGATTCACTTTATACGGAGAATAAAATCATTAGTAATTATATAAACATATATTGGTACAAATTAAATACACCTAAGTAAAAAACTAGCAATCCAAATGTAATCATACGTGATTGGAAATGATAGATAGTTAAATATATGTGAATGGATAAATGTGAATTAAAGTTAACGTCATATAGAAGATAGTGATTGGAAATGATAGATAGTTAAATATATGTGAATGGATAAATGTGAATTAAAGTTAACGTCATATAGAAGATAGAGAGATAGATGATTGGTATTATTTAGTTATATTGATAATTTTGAGGATAGTGAGGTTGAAGTAAAATTGAATTATATTTTAAGTTAAAATGAATAAAAAAATTTCTAATCCATTATGACTGCTTACCACTTGCAAACCAACTTACACGTATAAAAATGAAGAGCTTTTTGGATTACTTCATATATGTCAATCTTTTGTACTTCATACTTTTTGTCAATTTAGAGTCTATAAAGAGTTACAAAACATTTGAATGATTTAACTTCTAAAGGTCAATAATTTTTTATTTATTATCAGTTTTTCATGTATCACGTAGTATATTAAATTTATCATCATTTATTAATCTTAGAATATTATAAATAAATTTAAATGACCTATCAATCATAATTGGAAAGTAATATAATTGTTATTTGCCAATTAAAATAAATTTATATATAATAGTCTAATATATGATGAGAAATTCTTATCTATGATAGTCTATTTTATGATATAATTGTGACTGCAGCATGTGACACTTGAATCAATCTAATTATTCAACAATGAGTATGAACATTTTTATTGTTTTAGTTTTAATAAAAGCGAGTATGGGCATTTATTATGAACAATGATACGTCAAAATTTGTCCTTCGAACGCATTTAAACCACGTCATACTTTAAGTTTGATAGTATATGTGATGGAGAAAAAAAAATTAAAAATAAAATAAAATAAATATGTGATGACTAAATAAACGGCTTACATAACCTGCACGCTTACTAATTATTAATCATTCTCAATTGATTATAGACTAATGGGTTTTGTTTCTAGAAGAAGTGGAAATGATGAAAGAAGGGATTGAACATTGACAACATTTTTTCAATTCATTGTGGAAACAAACTGTTAAGACTTTGCATTTTTAAGAGTAATCATAATTTTCTCTAACTATTCTATCATACAATTATTTTTATTAATACTAACTAATTATAAATTCATACTAAATGATATATGAAAATTATATTCTTGTAAAATAATCTACTGCACAACTTTTTCTAACATCAGCCAGCTCACAAAGAAGGGCATGGCTCATATTTTATACTGGGCCGATTTAAATAAAGCTTAACTCAGTTCAGAAAAAGAAGGCTTGGCTCAGATTTTACATTTGGGCCGATCTTTAATTTGTTTGCTTTGATGGGCAAAACCGTCATTTCATATATTTCATCTCTGGCTCAAAAAATTTGCTCTGGCATTATCAACAGCCTATCTTCTTCCTCCTCGAGTCTTCAACTGCATAATCCCTCAGCTGCAATTTGCAAGAAATTAAGAAAATGGGTTCTCTTTCAGCAACTGGATTTTCCCCAAAATACCCAGTCCCCAACCACACAATACGTCGTCGTTCTTGCTGCCGATTGCCGGCCGTGTTCGCCGCCCTCAAAGCCTCTCCTCCACCTGGTAAGTCCCCCATTTCACTTATAATCCGTCCCTCAGTGAGAATTTTCATTTTCCCCCATTTTTTTTAGTTTTTATGGCGTCTGTTTTGATGTGGAAAAAATCCCGCACTTTATGCAATGCCAGTGAATGAATTTGCCGGTGATGATGATGTGTTGCGGGCTTTCTTGAAGGAGAGGGAGATGAGTCGAGATTTTGTGTCAAGACTATGTGATGAGCTCTGGTTGAGGGGTGGGAGTTCAAATTTGAAAAACAATGAAAATTCTGAGGAGGGTTTTGATAGTGTGAAGCTCAATGACCTAAAGATTTCGGAGGAGGTACAATTTCCTCTTTGCTCCCCCCACTGTTTGAAATGATTTATAAGTCCTTTTCATGGTGTGTGTTTGAGTGAATTTTCATGTTAAAACAACTAAAGGTTGTGTTTTGGTAGGAAAATGAAGGTGGGTTTTTGAAATTGAAGAGAACGGGTGAGTGGCTGTCGGGTGACGATGAATCTGCCCCGATGAACAAGAAGATATCTTCCAAGGTTTGTATGCTCCATCGGCTCTTTTTGTTGTTTTTCATTTCTTTTTTTACTATAGAAATTGGTCGAATGGTTACATGGTGAAATTTTGAGGCTAGAGCTACTCCTGCTGGCTTTTTTATTTCGTTTTTTGCTAATGCCGATGATTGCAGAAGGTACGAGATGACAGTCAGAGAAGGAAAAGACTGAATTTTCTCAGATATGAAGCTGTATGTACACTGAAACACAAGTTTTATTTAGCAAGTATGGATACGTTCTAATATATATTACTGCTGGAATTTTTGCTCATACGGTAAATCAGGATGAAGTTAGAAAAATGGTAGATCAGTTCTTGAAATGACATTTTGTTCGTAATAGAAATAATATAAAATGACTACTAAAGGATTCAGAGGGAGTTTCATTAATGAAAATCAAATAGTTGTTGGTTAATTTGAAGGCAAAGTTTTGTTAGTTCGTGTTATTTCATTTTCTTTTCTTCTTCTTCTTCTTCTACTACTTTTTTTTAAAAGAAAAGTTTGGATATTTAACATATTTTGTTTTTACTTGTTCACCATAGAACCATAAGTTCTTTGTAATTTATTAATGAGTGTATTTTTTTTGTGTTTTTAATGCAGCTGAAGAGGGAGCTGCTTTTTCTGACCGTGGGTGTAGGAACTGCATGTAGTGGATACTGCCTCGTAACTTTTTCAGTCCAGGTAAATTATATGAGTATGCTATGTGGTCATTGAACTTTTAGATGTGTTTTTCATAAAAAAAATAGAAAAAAGATGTCGTTTAAAACAGAAGACTATAAATGTGCTATTGGTTATGTTTCAGGTTGTATCTTTTAAAAAAGAATAAAAATTAAAAAAGAGGAAAGCGTGAAAAAATTTATTCGGACCTTGAGTATGCAGAGAATACAAAATTGAAATGTAATGATCATTTTTATTTCTTTTCTTTTGTTGATCAATATAATTTTTTTTATTACGTTCTTACTCGCTTTGAGGAAACTTCTCTTGCTTCGAGTTATCAGATTAGCGCACCTTCTATGTTCTTACGAGAAAAGGTTTTAAACCATTGAATATGCTGAGTTCTTTATATATATTGTAGGCTGCTGTGAGCTATGCAACAGGAGTTCTTTTCAGGTATAACATTTTCTAGTTAAAAAAGATCCAATTAACTTCATCAATATTGTATGAAATGTATATTTGTCTGTTTTCATATTGGCATTGCATTTTACTTGTGGTAAAATTAATTTCTGCAGTTGTATGTACTTTCAACTATTATGCAATCACATTGATAACTTGTCAAGAGAAGCAGTTCCAGAGATTTTTACCAAAAAGAAGTCAAAAAAGTAAAGAGGCCTTTTTACTCTCGATTTTTATTTTTTTTTGTTCAATTGAATCGACTCTCTCAATTGTGCTAACTAAATGATCACGTTCACATTTTACCAGAATTGGAATAAGAAGTGAAGATTTACAAGATTCATTCGAGAAAACACTTAAAGGCAGTAGCATTGCTCTTTCTTCTCCTAGGCTCGTTTTTCCTGCTGCAATATATGGTATTTGGGAATTGTCCCAACATTTTGCCCACGACATTTTTGATTTTCAGGTATCTGTTTAAAAGCTTTTCTAGTTTAATATCAAAATTTCCCCTTCAAGTTTAGTCTAATTCCAAGTTAACAAGAAAAGAGANAAAAAAGAATAAAAATATATCCTTCAAAACGAATAACTGCTGATGTTTGATTCTCTAATTAACGAATTGCTTCAGCTGAGAGTGTTTGTTCAAGAAATGAAAACATGCATGGCTTTAGATTTTTTTTTTCTTTTTTCTTTTTGGTCATATTTTATTCATGTTTGTTTTTGCAGCTAGTACCAGCAATGATGGGTTTATTTGCATATAAAGCGGCAGCTTTAGTGCAAGTGTATAGAGACAATGAAGACCTTCAGTTCATCTTCCCTGAAAATGCCGATGGTTCAACTGACTGAATTATTACGGTTTTATGTAAAAATATGCAAATAACAGGTAAAATGAAAAGATTACATCTGCTCTTTATTCACTACTTTTACGGTGGTTAATTACAGTTAAAAGAGGTGTATCGATAAAGTTCAATCCAAAGTGTACAGTTAAAGCTTTCAATCCAAACTGCATTCTTTGTCGTGAAGGTCGAGGGAAATTAGAAGAGGGCTTAGCTTTATGGAGGAGATAATTTTGAACATTATCGCCAAAAAACGAGTCTTGTAAGAAGAATTCAGGCAATCACCATTCTCTTCTCCGGCAAAGCTTTTTTGAATGGATGATCATATCAGTTAACACTCGAAGTTTTGTATGAACTTCCAAATCGAGGCTTTGCACTCACAAAACTTGAGATGTACAAAAATTGTTGTATAAAGCGGCCTAACCGTTAGGCGGTCGACTCATCAATCATCATACTCTGTGAATGTGAAGGAAAATGTATATTTTATATTATTGTGTTTCATACTTCTGGTACATGTATTTTTTAAAATATGATTTTCTTTAATGAAAATACGTACATTTGGAAACAAAAGTACAACAGTTAAATGTAGACCCACCTGACACAAGAACCACCTTGAAATGTATAAAGCTTGCTTGAGTTGCATTACATAAACTAGAATAGTTGTTATACATATTTTTATATGAGATTATAAAATTGGTTGATCCATCTTACTATTCTAAATAACAAAATACATATTTACAGTATGAAATGTTGTGTTTTGTTTACTTTGTTTGTTTTTAACTGATATTTCAGTTTGAAAATATAAATTTCTGTTATGAAAAAAATTACCATATAACAGGTAGTAAAGGATAATCTTATGATCCATGAATTTAGGTTGTGTTTGTTGCTTTCACTGTTTTAATTATATCATATTAATTTGCACAGATGTAAATAAAATTAAATATTATAAGTTATATTTATGTATATAATATAAAAATTATAAGTTATATAATTGTATTATATTTCAAACATATAGTATTATAAGTTATATTTATGTATATAATATTAAAATTATAAATTATATAATAGTATTATATTTTAAAATTTGATCATTGGTTAAAATAAATAGTACACACGATTTGATTGTATATGAATTACTATATTGATTGCATAAAATGCAATAAATATATACTTTTTATAATTTTGAGTGACCATGACCAATTAATTAGCTGAAAAATATTACATTTATTATAACAATTGCTTATGTGATTTTAAGAAATTTTACTATGACATAAAAAAAATTAATTTATTAATAAACAACAGCATTATCATATAAAAAAATATTGATTTTAGTGTAAAATATAATTTTATGTAACTTTCATATATTATTTAGTATAAAATATAATTACTAATTTTAATATTAACTATTATATTATTCAATAAAAAATATAATTATTAATCAATTAACATAAAATATAATGGTTTTTGTCTTAATTAACCCAAAAAATGTAATGAAATATTTTCTTATTAATGAGATTGGGTGTATTAATGCCACATAAATAAAATTTATTATGTTCTATTTAGTAGGTTTTATTAATGATTTGCCACATAGGTAAAATTTATTAGGTTTTATTTATGTTGACACCCGAGTTCGAGAGCCGAACCGGAGATCCGGTCCACTCAGAAAGTGCCGAGCTGGACTGGAATATTTTATGACCTAGACGATCCCATGAGTCTGTTCGTCAGTCCGGCGTTTGCGGCTATAAAGTACCGGTGCCGATCTGAGGAGCGACGGGCTGAAAGATAGGTTCCCCGGGGAAGGAGGAACAAGCAAAGAAAAGGTGCCGGTCTGGAGTCTCAGGACGGGTCCCTGCAATGAAGGTGCCGATCTCGATAGTAGTATAATAAGGCCACTTGGAGGGTAATCATTGGCTGATGGATGGGACATCCTAGCCTGTTGACCTACCTCCCCTAGCCAAGACATAAAGCCTGCCAGCATTAAATGCCTGTCAGACAATAATGAGGAAAACCTCAAATCGCATTAAATTCTGTCAGGGAGGCGCCGAACTACTCTGCAAGAAACACTGTACGACAAGACTGATGAACAGTGCCTGAACAGTGTCACATTTAAGGCCACTATAAATAGCAGCCCACTTCATTTATTTTGGGTTGTTGAATCCCAACTACTTGTACTCATATTTTCTCTCTCTAAAGATCTGTAAGAAACTCTTGTAAGAAACCTAAGTATATCGCAAGTGTCGACCTCGTACGAGAGGCCGACCTCGTGATCATCTAATAAAACTGCAATTAAACCGTAATTCTTTGTCTTTTCCTTATTTTCTTTCCATTATTTAACTTTTTAACCGTTGACCGGAAACGCCCGTCAACAATTTATTAGGTAAAATTTATTGCTTAGCTAGCAATTATATATATATAGATTATAAATCATTTAAAAAATACTATCATAATTTAAATTTTTTCTCCCGAGGGCATTTATATAGTTTGTTCCTGTGGGGTTAGGGAACCTCATTTCTTCTCTTCTTCTTCGCTAGACGCCACGAAAAGAAAACAAAAATGGCAGCCCTCGCAGCCAGGTTTTTGGGCATCACCAAATCCAAACTCAAATCCTCACCTTCAAATTCGTACAGGATTCTCCCTCACTCCCCGCCGCCCATCGCCGCCGATCCGAACCGCTTCAGCCACCGGAGGCCCATGTTTCTGGTTCAGCACTCGCGCGACAAATCCCGCAATTTCTCCGTGATTTCACCCGACAGCTCGTGGAGAATCGACGACCTCCGCTCGCGCGTATTCTCCTCTCTTCTATCGATCGGAAATCTCAGTCTCATCACCACTTTCAACGACCTGATTCTGTTGTCCCTCGACCGGCCCGGTCCAAAGCTGGATAAATTAATCTGGAACCCGACAACCAACGAGTCCAAAACCCTACCGCCGTCCTCCGTGCCGATTTCCCCATAAGAAGGCTACTTCAATATGCACATCGGCACCACCAGTTTATACGGCAACATCTTTACCAGCTACGGCTTTGGGTTCGACCCGGCCACATCTCGGGACCGCTGCAAGATCGTGAGAGTTTTCAAAGCCGACTGTGACAACTATTCTTATCCCCGGTACCGAGCCGAGCTTTACTCGCCGGAGACCGATTCCTGGCAGGAAATTCCATACCCTTTCGATTATTTTAGTAATCAAGATGGGTGGGCTCTCCCGTGGAATTCTGTTCACGCCAACGGCAGCTATTACTGGCTGATTTGGGAAAGACAAAGTGCCCTCTGTTTCGACTTTGCCGACGAGAAGTTCTTGCCTCGTTTAATTCCTCTGCCGGAGAAGGTCAATTCCGATTTCCGGCTAGTCGAGTTTCATGGGTCGATTGCCGTTATTGTTTGGCAAGGTTCGGAAGTGGAGATTTGGGTGTGGAATGGCGACGGGTGGTCGTGGTCTCTGGCGTCCAAGTTCGACGTACCTACGACCGTTGGAAGTATAGAGTGTTTGTTCAAGAACGATAAGTTGTTTTTGCTAAATATCGAAGGGGAGCTAATGCTTTTCGACCGTGCGACGGGCGGGTTGGAGGGTTTGGGTATCCATGCAGAATACATGAGCATTTACCCTTACATTGAGAGCACGGTTCGGCTCGGCACCAGAGGTTTTCTTAACGGGAAACCCTTTTTGGACGCGAATTGGACATGAAACGATCAGGGTGGTAGAATGTGACAATGCGTAATATATTCATTTCTCAATATATACGTGTACTTTCAAATTAAATTGTCAGTCATACTCTAAAAAATAATGTTAAGAAATAATATAGAGATCTTCATCGATATGCTTGGTGGAGATCGGGGAGACGAGTTTCGCATGTTTTCAATTAATTTACGTCTTATTTGGCAAAGAGAGAACTCGAATACGACACAATTTGACATGGAGGAGAGTGGAACAAGTTTGGGAATTTGGATGGGGTGACTATATGAAATGAGTCTCGCGAACTCAACCCCAATTAAACGATCATTGACCCCGAGACTGATTGCTTATTGGCTTGGGCCAGATAAATGTCTAAATGGAACTTACCCTTTTTTGTGATGTTGTACGTGATTCGTCAATTGGCTTATGAGGGTGGCTTTGTGATTCAGAGGGAGTGTGTTTGGCTGCCTTTGCATCTCAACAATCTGGATACTTTTCCCCGATAGCTGTTGAAGGCCTGGCCTGGTTCAGACTTCGTTTTATCTTGGACTCGAGTTTCATTATCCAAGTTGCAGAGACTAATGCTCTTTTAGATTTTTGTGGTACTTTTGACCACATTTCAAATAACCCATTGCAACATGTTTATGTTATCTTTGAATTGTGATGTCTGTAGTCACTTTGATAGAACAAATAATGTGCTGACCATAACCTAGCTAAATGAGCTCTAGCGGCGACGGATTCCTTTTTCTGAAAGGACTCTTTGCCCTTTTTTTTTATCTTCTTTCTTTCATGATGTATCAAGTTGACAAGTTCATGACTTTGGTTGAATATATCTATATATTTTATTCGCAAAAAAAAAATAAAATAAGTAACAATATAGATAATAGTATGACATTTAATATTGTCAGTATAAATTCTATAAATTATGTTGTACCCATACAAGAATTTGTATTTTTAGAGGTTTGTCTCAAATGCAAAAATTTCTTGTAATGACTCTAAATATAACAATAAAGTTTCTTCTATCCTTTAATGCTACGTGAATTAAGAGTTCATGTATTTGATTTTTTTTTATCTTTTAATATATAAAAAAGAGAAAAATGAAGAAAAAACTAAAATCGTAGATTGTCTCCTACAAAGCGCTCAATTTTACGTCGTGAGTTCGATGAATCCGTCAATTCCTTATCAACCAAATTCGGCTTGACGAGCTACTCGTCCCCCACCTCCATTCTCATCCTTGTCAAAATATTTCTTTGCCCAATCATTTCTCAGTGGCATAAGTTATAACTCTACCATCAAATACAAGGACAATGTGGTGCTAAATGGGATGACTCAAATAGTTTCGAGCCGGCTTTGAGTCGAATTTCAAATAAAAATAATAATGTAAAAATTCACTAAAGCATTTGGTTATTTTTATAAAATAAATCTATTTTTTATTCTTTTTTTAGTATATATTTATTAATTTGTGTTTTGCTATCAGTTATATAATAAATTTGTAATATAATTTAATAATTTAATACATTAAATAGAAATAACAAATCAGAATGAGATGATTTTATACTAAAATCAGGCTAGTTGATTATATTAAAATTAATTAGGGCTCTGGTTGCTTATTAAGGGCTTTTTCTGGCGGCTGTGGTTGGTTTTTCCGGCGAATATTCCGAATAGGAATGGCGATCCTTGCAAGCAACCTCTTGGCCAACGCCAAATCCAAATTCAAATCTCTCTCCGCCGTCCTTTCTTCACGCCTCCCTCTCGCCGCCGCAGCCAACACCGGCGCTGCAACAACCCCTCTCCTCCTCCTCGCGGAGCTCTTGCCAAACGACGATTCCCTCAACCCTTCCACCTTCTCCGTAATTTCAATCTCGGCCTCTGGATCGTCCCGCAAATCCCGTACGGATTTGAAATTTCCCCTTTCTGGCCGGCACAAATACCTGACATCCGCCGCCAGCTGCAACGGCCTCCACCTGTTCTTGTTCGACGACGGCAGAATCGACGACGAGGACACGACTGAGCCTGGGGAGGTCCTCTGGAATCCAGCCACCGGCGAGGTCAAAATCCTCCCCCAGTCCCAGCCGCCCTACCCGCGCTACCCGAGGTACATGAAATCCTTTGGATCCGGGGACTTCGGGTTCGGGTTCGACCCGATTTCTGGGGACCATCGGGTCGTCCGGCTGCTCGAGTACTCCTACCACCGGGACAATAGCTATATCTTCAACCCTTTTCGCATGCCTTTCATCGGGTCGTTGTGTTCCCACTGTTAGTGGTTTTATATAACACATATATAAATATATATATATAGGACTAACCTTTATGTAGCGGAAGCGAAAATTTGCCCGTATCTTTTATCCGACGGCTACTAGAGTCGTCGGTATCCTCCACGCTCTAAAACCCGAGCCGCCTTGATGGTTTCGGCTCAACAAGAGAAAAGCACTATAAAGATTATGTATTTTCTTAACTTGTTTTCTTATCTCGTATTGTCCACTTTTCAAGATGCAAAAGCATCTTATTTATAGTTGTCTTAATACAACTATTCATTGAAGACATGAATTCACTTCATAACTCACTTCCATAACTCCATACTTAATGGACTTAATGGTGATGGAGTTGTAACACCACATCCTTTAAGTGGTTGTTACCAACTAATTGATGCATGAAAGTATGTAACATCAATTACAAACAATACCAGGCATTGGTGTTGGACGTGCCGGCTTTCGTTCAACGGGTTGTTGGCCTTTTTGAGAACGACAAATTGGTTGTTGAGGACTTTAGAGGTGATGTGTTGGTTTTCTATTGTGGGACGGGCAAGGTGGAGAAGATGAGAGATATATATGGTGATTGGGTGGTGAATGTATTCGAATATGTCGAGAGCTACGTACCGCTGAACAAAATGTGGGAAATTTTGAGAGATGGATGGAAAGATTATTAGGAGTAGGTCGATATTTATATACTATTTGATGGTGGTCTTTTTTTGTTCAAAAATTCCTCAACAATCATAGGCCATTGTTGACAATGTAATTATGTGGGTTTTTCCATCAATATATCATGTTTTTGATTTTTCGATCCTTCACATTTTTCATCCCTTCTCTCCTTTTTCCTGTAGCAGATAACCGTAATCTCAACTGGCTCGGGCTTGGGCTCGCTTCTCCTCCGGCAGAAGTCCAAACCCGTGCGGCTTTGTCCTTCACCGAGGATGGTCGTGGCTCGTCGAGAGGTTGACGGATTCCTTGTTCGAGGGGTTTACTCCTGTTGTGGGTGGCCACGGTAGGACCTCGAGTCTCTCTGGCTCGTCGGCGGCAGAGTCGCGGTTGCCGGTGGTCAAGGCCGCCCTTGTGGCGGTTGGTACTGAGCGGCGACTCTCTCCCTCTGGGTGGGGCCGGATTCAGAGCTGCTAACGAGCTTCTTGGTGAGGCGGCGTTACCCTCTTCCTGGACGGCAAGAGGCTCTACGGGTGGTAGGGTTGCTTTCGGCGGATCTTGACAGCCGGTAGCCGCGCATCTTTTTGTTGGTTCATAATAAAATATTATTTGAATATTCGCAATAAAATTACAAATATAATTAAAAAATAAAATTTGAAAATCAATTAAGAAAATTTTATTATGATATTTATTATAGTGTTACAATAAAAAAAATCTTATTTATCAACATTAATAACAAATCACGGTGATTTCTTATTCATTTGGTAACAAATCATATACCAAAATAATTTTTATCGTATTTTCAAAAAACTATTTGATCAAGAAGAATAGTTTAGAATCCTCTTATTTATCAATAACTCAACAGTTTTTGTTTTTCAAAAATTATAAACCTAATTTTTTAAAATATGAAAGAAATTTAACTATTTATCTTTAATAACAAATTAATAGGTATCCTTAATAAGAAATCATGCTTTCTCCTATTTTGTTGGTATCCAGCTACGTGTAGACCAAAATATGCTTGAGAACATGCAATATACAAGTACAAAATAAATTTAGAAATCAATTGCAAAAATCTTATTGATATAACTACCACAATACTATAATATAATTGATATCTATACACTAATAATAATTACGATTTTCTATTCATTTCGTAACAAACCATATACCAAAAATCATTTATTAAAGGAGTTAAAAAATATCATTTGATTTTATCAATAACTAGTACGTAACCCGTGCGATGCACGAGATGTAAAATTTGAAAAAATAATATAACCTCACGTGCATTAGGATCGAAATTGAAATCATTAAAATACATAGGAACATTGTTGAATCATAAAAAATTCGGTAACAATCATATATTGTTAAAAACCTTCTTGTACACAACATTATGAGTTTGATTATTTGGTAACTCCTCATTATCACAAACTAATATTTTCAAAAGAGACAAATCCTAAAAATCAAACTAATATTTTTTGTGAACAAACTAATATTTTAGGATTTCTAGGATTTGTCTCTTTTTGGTGAACAAACTAATATTTTAGGATTGGTTATATGAATAAGGCTACCTGTTTTTTGTGTTCTTTTCATTCATTTTCATTCAAACAATCCGATGACTTGTATAATAAACTCCGAATCTTAAGCCGAAATATTTAACAAAAGAGTTTTTAAAAATTGAAAAGTCAAGGCAATCAGTTCAGATTAATTAAAAGTCAAAGAATATCCGCTCCTTGAAATAAAGACGTGTGCTATCATTAACCAAATATCCGGTTATTGATATAGAGTGGTTACCAAAAAATAGAACGCGATAAGTACACTTCGTTGAAATATCAATGGGATAAGATCATAACATATCGCTATACATTTTAACGATAAAAGCTCAGATGGAATGATTTATGATAATTATGTCGTAATTAATGAATTAATTAAATGTGTGAAAAAGACATAATTAATGAGAAGTGTGAAAAGGACATAATTAATTAGAAGTGTGAAAAGGACATAATTAATTAGAAGTGTGAAAAGGACATAAAAGTTACTAATTTTGGAAAGTAATTAATGCAAAACTGACTTTGACCATTAATTAAGTTACTAATTTTGATAAATGTTAATTCTTATTATATAAGTATAGATTGTACCAAATTATTTTTTTAAAATTCATATTGCTGCTGACAATATAGCAATTCTCATATAAATTAATAATTAGAAAAAATAAATAAATATTTATAATATTATAAATTATAAGAAAAAATAAATTAAAATTGGCGTAATTAAAGTTATTAATTGCTTTACTTCAAAATAATATACATTAAAATATTTTTCAATTAAGATATATTAAATTATTATATATCATAAAATAAACGAAAAAATAATTATTAATATTAAAAAATATAAAATATTTTTATATTAATCAATATTTTTAAATTGTTTTAATACATACAATTTATAATTATTGTCCCGTGCGCACGGTCTACTTGATAGTTTACTAAGCAAGTTTATAGCAATAATATACCGGTGATTACATCAACACAACGATAAAGTGGAAAGCAATTTGACAAAGGATACTAATTACAGAAATGAGAAATCAGTCCATAAAGTGCACTTTATCTAATTCGAGATTGAAATATGATTTGTTTGAAACATGTAATATTATTATTAAATTTCATCAATATTATTTTTTTCTTTAGCTTTTTCTTCGAATTCAATTCACGTGATTTGTCACAAATTTGCCCAATTTCAAACACCAATTAGCCCTAATATTAGTTATTTACACATAAAACAATAATAAGAAACACAGACTATATGTATAAATAATAGCAAAATATAATAAAATTTTATTTCTATATGTTTATGTGCAAATCTCTCTCTCCCTCAAAACTGGTGCGAACTTCTGCAAATCTCTTCCGCCATTTCTGAACCCGTGTCTTTCTCATTCTATAAATATACAATGGATGATGATAACAATGGCGGCGCAAGAGCAATTTCCTCTAGCTCTTTGCATTCGGAGCCTCAGCGAGAAGATAGAGAAGAGGCCTCTGATAATGGCGACCAGAGAGTTTATTTAGTTCCGTTCAGGTATGTGCACACATTCTCGAACGTCACTCCAAATCTGTTATTTGGTTTGATTGTTGTGATTGCTATGCTTTTTTTTTTGTTCTGAAAGTGTTGAGGGAAATGCTATAAAATAGTGAACCGGCGAACAGAATCTGATTTGAAAAAAGAGGAACAAAATGTACTGAAACAGGCAATGATTCTCGAATTATATGATGTAAATGCGGCGCCTGTTGAAAAATATCATCCGGAATCAATTATTAGTTGTGTAATTTCAAATCGGGATGATTGAAGCTGCTTGCTTGATTTAGTTGTTTGCGTTGATGCCCAGAGTTTGCCTCACCGATTGATAATATAAGTTGAGCTCAATTATTTGCATCTGAGTTTAATTAGATTTGGATTCTGCTTTCATTTACCTCCCTGAGGTTAATTGTAAAGAACTTTTGAGTTCATCTCTGAGTGAGGATATGGAGAATGTTGTTACTTTCCCTTTTTTTAGCACTGTATCTTAAACAGTAAGGAATATATTGTTTATGCTGATTGTGCGACAGATGGTGGAAAGAGGCCCAGGACTCGTCTTCTCCAGACGTAAAGAAGGGAATCCCGTATGCTGCATGCCCTTCTTCTCAATATGGGGGTCCAATGAAGATATTCAACAATATATTCAGCTCAGATATCGCGTTCAACCTAAGGAAAGAGGATGCATTGTCATGCAATGCGGAAAGTGATGAATCAGGAGAGTCATGTAGGGATTACGCAATGGTCCCTGGCGACATGTGGCTTGAGACGCTCAAATGGTAGGTGACGTGGAATCCCTACTAAATCCCTTTGTAAATTCTGTTACGTAAGCTTCGTATGATTGGCAATTTGGGATAATTACAAGAGCTACCCTAGTGTTTGGTCTAATCATAAAAAGAACCCGATTCTTACGAAACTAAAGATACTCACTAGTTATTTCGGACACGCCTTGAATTTTTTATTTTTTTTAACAGATATTCCAGCATGGATGATATAATTTTTGAAATAGAAACAAATATCTTGAGTACTTATAAGTTGGAATTTCTGTAATTTGAAAAACCTTGAGAGTGTCTTTTGTAATCATCCCTACTTATTTGACGTGATAGATTCTTGTGGCATACCATATGTCACATGTGGGAGATTCCCCATGCACTTGCATGTCACTGAAAGTGTTGAGCTGGAATTCAGTGTATCCGATGGTGAAAATATTGTGTTCATTTACTGCTCATTTTTAGGAAACTGAAGTGAACTAGTTTTCAGTAGTTAATGAGTGGAGAGAAGATTAAAATAGTGTTAAAAATGTTGTGTTGGAAACCACCGAGCTCTATTGGAGCTTTGGACAGGGAGTAAAACAATTTATTAAAATTCCATATATTGAATTAACCTTAGGAAAGTGTAAAACTGGAAAAAACCATTTTGAGATCAAACGATTTATGAATGATGTTCTTTGTTCTTGTGTATAAAGCTAAACAACTGATAAAGGAAACATAGGGAGTAAAATGTAGGCGCAAAGTAGTTCCACAAATGTTAATCCACTAGGTATCTGTCTAAGCCTGCCAGATTCTTCCATGATTCATTATTTTCTATTTTGTAATTTTTATGTTACTCTTGCCAGTCCGACAATCTTTTTTTCAGCTGTTTGTCTACTGACAAAGGTTGTTAAAACCTGGTTGGTCCGGCCAGTCAGAATGGGGAATAGGTCACCTGGCCGGCTAGGTTGAACAGGCGAAAACCTATCAAAAGCCGGCTAACGAAATTTCTTTTTGTATATTTTTATCATAAATAAAACATATATGTATGTATGTATATATATATATATATATAATATATATATATATATATATATATAAGTTATTATATTAATTAATTATGCATTTTCATGCTTTAAATTCTCTTAATATGCAATTAATGATGTTTGTATATATAAAAATTTTTTACTTAAAAACACTATGTAATAGTCATAAATATTAATACATCAAATACCGGTTCAAAATTTCTCGTGCGACCAGCCATTGAACCTGTAGTTTGATCGGTTCGATGACCGGTCCGTTTATGAGAGCCTTGTACAAGCGTTGCATTTGGAAGATGTTAGGCTCTGTTTGATACTTTTGCAAGCTCTAAGCTGGAAAGCACACTTGTGTGAATTCAGTTGTTACATTGTCAGACGAACATTATATTGATTGCTCTGAAATGAAGTCAATTTTTCTCTTTATTTCTTTTTTTTTTTCCTGGTTCTTTCAATCCCTTTTTCCTCCTTCTGTGTGCTATCCAGGCACAGTAACTCCAAAAGTTCATCAAAGGAAAGAAAAGGATTTACAGCTGCAGAAGATGATATGTCAGATGTGTATCCACTTCAACTTAGGCTTTCTGTTCTCTGGGAAACTAATGTAGTGGCAGTCAAAGTGAGCAAAAAGGTTAGTACTTCCTGAGCTGGTCTCTTAGTATTTACTTATTTTTCATGATATATGAAATGGCAAAACTTATAATTGCATGATTGTTACTGTTCTTCACTTCTTTGTCCTTTCCTTGCTGGCGTCTGCTTAACGTTCTCCGTTTTCTTTTTATTCTATTTAACGTATGTTGATGGAAGAACCAAAATTTTCTTAAGTAACATTGTACTGAAGATGAGTATCTTGCAAAGTACAGTCATTAATTGTAGAACTTTTCTGAATATTTATTTAGAGTATGCATGTATCAATATCAGGTCAATTAAGGCTGATGCCTGAGAATGGGAAACAATATTGCTAATGCCACTTTACATTTATGGTATTCTTGTGCATGGTCTTACGTAAGTTCTTGATCTGAGTTTCCTTCTAGAGGACACATTTATTTTGATTTATAAGAAATGGAACTTGATTATTGAACCTCCAACCGTTGGTGGTTGGTAGCTTTTTAAGAATAAAAAAAAACTCCTTAGATGTTTTGCCTGTGGGAGGTACTTACTTTTTGCAGGCCAATCACCTTAAAGAATTATTAGGGAAATTCCTGAGTGAGCAGTGGCCACTCAAATTTTTTTAAGCTGTCTCCTACTAGCGCATTCCTAAGATTTTACTGTATTTTTCTCATGTGATGAACTCAACTGAAGTTGCATCAATGATGGAGTTTCATATTGTTGTAATCTGGCATTATAGCAATGGCAGAATTAGCGCTCATTGTTGTGTTCTGGCATTATAGCAGTATACATTCTGTATTGCATTTAGTTGATCATGAAAGAAAAAGACAGACTTAGACTTCTTGCTTAAAAAATAGGTAAAGTAAATGTTTTATCAATGTATTGACTTATATCCCCTTTGATTGTTTTCATATGTATCTGCATAATGTTTGCTATACGTACATGCCAAAATGGTTATGAAAGAATGGTTTGAGTTACTTTGACTACATTAAATTAAGTTTTAGTAAATTCTTGAAATCTTTATTGTAGATTTTCTCGGTAACNTAATTCCAGGAAAATTCAGTTGAATGCTTCAGAAGAGCCTGCAAGATTTTTAATATGGATGAACCTGTGAGTTTAATATCAATTACTCATTATGTAACCTTTTCTTTATTGGAAACTGACGGTTAATATGGAAGCTGAACCTGTGAGTTTAATATCAATTGCTCATTATGTAACCTTTTCTTTATTGGAAACTGACGGTTAACTCCACCCTCATCAGATACGGGTTTGGGATTTTTCTGGGCAGACAACGCTGCTTTTCTTGACTGACAAAAATAAAAACTTTAAAGAATCTCAGAAGCAAACAGAACAGGATGTAAGTACCAGATCCCATGTGATCTGCATCAACTGACATCATATTGTTCCATATGATTATGCATCTTTGAATTGTTGAACCCACCCCACTTTCTCTTTGGAATCTGGAACTTTTAAAATCCAGTGTTATTCTCAATAACATCTTTTTCTTTTGAAATTTGGGCACAAAGGCCACGACATATGTAAAAATGTGTATATTGGTACATAGCAGGTCGATTAAGATGACTCTCATTCTCCTTCGGGAAAAGAAAAAAAAAAATTACACAATACCATAGGCATGTCTTGATTTCCTTTTGTACATAGATTTTATTTTTCACTTTCTTTATTTGCATATAGACAAATTTTACACGAGTGCTATGATTTTTATATGTTCTTGCTAATTACGGTTTTACTTTTCTATTTCTTGGATATTTCATTTCACTAGTATAACTTCATATGACTGATCAAATGAACAATGATTTGATAATGACGCTGAGAAGAGAGTTTCAAAATAGGTTATTGATCTTTATCCTTCTTATAATCATCTACATTAACTTGNTTATGCAGCTGCTTCTTGAGTTGCAAGTTTACGGGTTGTCAGATTCTTTTAGAAATAGAGGGGCCAAAAAAGATGATGCTGGAACATATACTTATGGTACTTCATATTTGATGAATGGTAGCACTACCAACAGTAGTTCTAGTTCTGCTCGAAGCAGTTCTTCTAAGCTTCTTGGAAATTCATTTGAAACTGGTACACTGGGCCTAACTGGATTACAAAATCTTGGAAATACTTGCTTCATGAATAGTGCTTTACAGTGTTTAGCACACACGCCAAAGCTTGTTGACTACTTTCTTGGAGATTACAAAAGAGAAATAAATTCAGAGAATCCTTTAGGCATGAAGGTTTGTTAATGAAATTAACTAATTAAGATATCATAATAGCTATTCTTTTGCATTATTGCTCCTTTCCATTCCCTCCATGGTTATTCTCTTTCGCTTTTCTTGAGGTTGTTTCCTTTCCATTCACGGATTGCCTTGAAATATTAATCATAGAATGCCAGACTTGATACCTTTAAGGAATTTTCCATATATACCTTCTTTATAGTTAATTATATATAGTTGTGGTTTCCTGGAATGATATATAGGAGACTTGTGTAGGACTGGGTAAGTTCTCCTGTGTGAAGATTATTTAATGGAAAAAATAAATCGATCAGTTGGCTGTCTTTCTATTCCTATGAGTTGTATTACTAGGTCTTTATTTTTCAAATGATAGGATACTTGTTTTTAACAGGGTGAAATTGCTTCATCTTTTGGAGATCTTATGAAGAAATTATGGGCCCCTGGAGCAACTCCTCTGGCTCCAAGAACATTTAAATTGAAGCTTGCTCATTTTGCTCCCCAATTCAGTGGTTTTAATCAGCATGATTCTCAAGTATGTATATCTTTAAGTGAAATATATATTTCGCTCGTCTAAATTTATGTCTCAGATAGCAGTCATCTGTTGAAAGTGGTGCAATATCATTTCCAATCATATTTGCTTGCTGTAGGAGCTGTTGGCATTTCTCTTAGATGGTCTCCATGAGGATCTGAATCGTGTGAAATGCAAACCTTATGTCGAAGCTAAGGATTCCGATGGCCGCCCAGATGAAGAAGTAGCTGACGAATATTGGAAGAATCATCTAGCTCGTAATGACTCTATAATTGTTGATATCTGTCAAGTAAGTGTCAATTTGGAATTTATTCAAGTCATATACTCATTTATGCAAACAGTTGTCCCGTACTAGAGATATTGTTTGTTTCTGTCATTTGATAGTAGAAAGAGCTGAAAGCTCTTATAAGTGTACTTGAGAGAAGCCAGTTCATTCTATCTTTTCTCGATTATCTTAAAATGCCTGTCTACTTAGCAACTTATCTTCATCAGGTAATGAAACCTGATATGCAACTAATTTATTGGATCAGTTCCTCCAACTTTTTGTGATAAGTTCCATAGATAAGGAATTCTATGTTTTTTTTTTCATTACCTTTTCAGTTCTATTTACTAAATTATGGTGGATCACTATTATTGCAGGGTCAGTACAGGTCCACGTTAGCATGTCCGATTTGTAGAAAGGTGTCTGTTACTTTTGACCCATTCATGTATCTCTCTTTACCTCTGCCGTCATCATCTATGCGGACAATGACATTGACTGTGATAAAAGCTGATGGCAGTAGTAAGCCATCCCCGTTCACTGTTACTGTGCCCAAGAATGGGAAGTTTGATGATTTGATCCAGGCTTTGAGCACAGCCTGTTCACTAGGGGTTGATGAAACCTTTTTAGTGGCTGAGGTAACCATAGTTATTACACTGATACATTAGTAGTGTCACAAGCCAGTATAGTTTCTTGTATTATTTATCATTTTTCCTATTACATAGTTTTTAATGTCCTTTGCCCTTGTCTCATGTCCAGATATACAACAACCGCATCATACGGTTTCTTGAAGAGCCCACCGATTCATTATCTTTAATTAGAGACAACGATCAACTAATTGCTTACAGGTTAGCGAAGGATGACAAGGAAGCTCCTCTCTTCGTGTTTATGCATCAGCTGGCTGAAGAGTGAGTTTCTGTGCAATGCTTTTCCCCTAATTTGCAAGTTTTTCCAGACACATTGCTAGTAATTATATTTTTTAGATGTATCTATGGGAATGGATACAACCATGTTGACTTCAATTTTTTCTCTTCATTAATTTAGATTTAAGACACCTAATTTAAAATGTCACAGAAAATTCATTGCTGGGAAATTAACACCCAGTTGGAGAGCATTTGGAGTTCCTCTTGTCTCACGCCAAAGTTTCACAGATGGCTCTGGTATTCGTTCAACATATGCAAAGCTGATTGCTCCATTCCGGGTGACTTATCAAGACTCTGGCGAAAATATTGACAGCCTTGACATAAGTGACACCAGCAATTTTAGATTAAGTGGATCCCCTGATACATCTGATAAAAAAGAGACTGATGCGGATTCTAGTAACGATTTTCAGTTTCACTTTTCGAATGAAAAAGGATCAGAGACTGGCTCTGAGATTGGAATGGGAGAGCTGGAAAAGCCTGTATTCATGCCTGAAAGACTGTATGTACTCGTATCTTGGTCAGACAAGATGGTGAAGCTTCACAATGTCGAGCCTCTTAACTTGCTTCCGGAAGTTTTTAAGTCTGGATTTTTCACAAAAAGGCCACAAGAGTCCATCTCGCTGTATAAATGTCTTGAAGCATTCCTTAAGGAGGAGCCTCTGGGCCCAGATGATATGTGGTCAGTATGCCATTCCCAAATAGTTTCAACTTAGTGTAGTTGCTTAATTTAGTCGCATTTGTTATGTTTATATCTTGATTAAGGACATTGTGGTCAAATTGATGCGTCTTCATTCCTTAAGGACACACACGCTTTCCTGTTGTAGTTTAGTTGTTGAAGATTGTTAGCTTTGCCTATACCCACATTGTTTGTTCTGCAAATTGTGCGTTGTCAATTTACACTTGTTTCCTTTAAACCTGTAACTGTCTGACAACTTGTTCCTGCATAACTTAGAAAAAGAAGTTTAATCAAAGTTCAGGATTAGTGTTAATAGTGATGCATTTTGCAATCAAAGTTCAAGGCAGATGTATGTATTGTTGAGTACATAAAAAGTTATTTTTCACGTTCCAACAGTCGTTGATACTAACCTTTACTCAGCATTATTATCCAATTTAACATGTTAATTTTCCCTTGTTACTTTCGAAAATCATATTCTAATTCCGCATTAAAAATTGGGTTTATCTGTCTGATGTATAGAGTAATTTACTTATTCCTCAATAAATGCTTTCTTGTTAGCCCTCAATTCACGTCATCTATGCTGCCCTTTTGCAATATTTTCAGGTACTGTCCTGTATGCAAAAAGCATTGTCAAGCCGGCAAAAAATTAGATCTCTGGAGATTGCCAGAAGTTCTGGTGATACATTTGAAACGATTCTCATACAGCCGATTCCTGAAGAATAAGTTGGAAACTTACGTTGATTTCCCCATTCATGATCTCGATCTGTCTGGTTATATTACCCAGAAGGGTGAACAATCTCATCACCGTTACATCCTTTATGCTATCAGTAACCACTATGGAAGTATGGGAGGTGGTCACTACACAGCATTTGTGCATGTAAGTTTTTAAAATTTTCAGCTATTTTGATATATGTCAATGCCACAAAAAATGCTCTAAATTTTCTGCTAATCATGGGACATTTTACCGTTACTTAGGGCTAATTTCTATATATCAATATTAACATAGCTCAACTTTTTCATCATTTTTTTTAAGGAAAAAAAAACAGTTATTCTCAAAATCACACATGCCCCCAAGATTACTGATTATTTTACATACTAACCCTATGCAGCGGGTTCAATCTATAAGATAAAGAACTAATGTGAAAGGGGTACTTGTAATGTTGAAAGTTAGTTCGATTTTCTTGTAAGAACTCGTTTTTATGATTAATTACTTCGTCAATGACTAGTATCTCTGCCTTCAAGCACGTGTATTTTGATTCTTTTTTTATTTTATTTTTTTTACAGCATGGCGGTGACAAATGGTATGACTTTGACGACAGCCACGTGTCACCAATCAGTGTGGACAAGATCAAAACTTCAGCTGCTTATGTTTTATTCTATAGAAGAGTTGAGAAAGCCGGACCAAACCCACTTTAGGGAGTGCAATCGAGAACCTGAGATCCTGATCGACTGTAAGTGACCATTTTGATGGTTTTGTTAATTAATTCTTTTTATTGGCTGGTGATATGGTACCCCATTCTTTTTTTTGTGATTAATTACATAGTTGTAGGTAGTCTTTCTAGGTATATGGAGAAATGAAACCCTTTAGTATTAGGATGTTGAGGTCACAGAGGATATTTCATTAATATTTCATTATAACATAGTATAAAGTGAGGATGAAGAGAGGTTCGTACAAGGAATAACCAGTAAATCAAACCTTCACAAAATTGGACCTTTTTTTTCCCCCTATTTTGGTAGACATAGAATCTAAACCAGTTGTTGTATCCTGTACGATTCGAAATTATATCATATTTAATCAAGTTGTTGGCTTCGTTATTGATAAATTCGTTTTAATAGTGTGTGACAGGTTTGTTCTGGATTGTGTTCCTTGCTTTACTTTCTTGTTTTTTAGCGGATTATGGTCTTCTAATTCGAGAGGGTGGTTGGCCGAGCCTATTTAAAGAGATCTTACAAGCTGTACATCATGTAAAATGGTTTTTACTACACATAACTATACCATATTTCTGATCATACAAGTTATGGAAGAGTTTGAATAAAAAAAAGATGATAGAGTTCACAAAACTTTGTTATTAACAATTTTGTGANTTTATTTAGAATGACCATAACCTTGTTACCTGTTGTTTACCTTGTTATCTGTTATGGTGGTCTGCTGAGTTTGATTTGATTTTTTTTTTTTAAAAAAAAAAGGAAAAATGATACAGTTATTTTACAAAAAGCTATCTTATTCATTCTGGTCCTGAAAAGCAAACATTTGGGTGAAGTATTCATAATGGTGTTCAAGTTGGTGGGACATGGTGAATTATTGAAAATTGCCATGGAAATGAAAGGGCCACTGTTTATATTCTTTGATTGTTTTAATCGCTTTCAAAACTAAAAAGCTTTATACAAATGGTTTGTGGAGATTTTTTTTTTTTTTCCCTCCCAAACTATGACGGTTTTAACATTTCGGAAACTGAACATTATCTACGGTACAGATCAATTGTGAGTCAGCTTATTTGTTAGGTTGGTCGATTAGTTATATTTATATTCTGAGATATCGTAATTTGTTTTACATTATTTTTTAAAATACGACATTTCAATGTGAAAATATGTATATGTTTTTAAAGAAATTATTACTGTATCACTAGGCTTGCCATTTTTACCTTTTTGCCGGGAATATTTTGAATGCACATATGTGTGTCCGGTCAGTGTATCTCGTTTGTTTGTGCCTTGTAGTCAATTTCCCCATGATCAACTTTTTATTAAGCTTTAACAGATTATAGAGAATTTCACACAATTTGAAAAATTATTAATAATAACTAAAATAGGTGTTTAAATCTTTGTGTTGAACATCTTTTCAAACTTGAGTTTCAAGAGTAAAAATGAGTTGGTTGGCAAGTATGCATTAGTTTTCTTGTTGGTGCATAATATGGATTTTTCTATAAAATTAGATATGCTTATCTTATAGAGCCCTATATGTGAACTTGATGCTTGACTTTTAATTTTTATTGTGTTAATGAGTTAGTAGCGAAAATGAAAGGATTTTTTTTTTTTCCAATTTTTATTTCAATTAGATAAATCTTTAGACAAGACAAAATGGAATATTTCACCTGCAACTATATTTAGTGAAATCATTATGTTTCGCACTCAAATTATAAACATGCCACATGATCATATCATAATACATATATGTGTGTGTATCACGATTTTATTACTTGAGTTGCTAAAATCATTTTAAAAATATACTTCTTACCTCCCATCAATTATATTATGTAAATCATTTTATGGCAAACTAGCATTTTTATTAGACTAATAATCTTGCATTTTTATGAGACTGCTGATGATCATGTAATCCTCAAGCTACAGCTCAGAACCATAGCACATATTATGCATTTGTATAAATAATATATATT